GTGGAAATTTGATACTGTGGAAATTTGATACCCAGAAAATTTGACACTGTGGAAATTTGATACCCTGAAAATTTGACACTGTGGAAATTTGATACCCTGGAAATTTGACACTGTGGAAATTTGATACTGTGGAAATTTGACACTGTGGAAAATTGATACCCTGAAAATTTGACACTGTGGAAATTTGATACCCTGAAAATTTGACACTGTGGAAATTTGATACCCTTAAAATTTGACACTGTGGAAATTTGATACCCTGAAAATTTAACCCTATGAAAATTTGACACTGAAAATTTAACAGCATAAAAATCCCAAAGCTCAAAAATCCAAAGTCATAAATACTTCATCGACATCTCCCCAATCAATTCCGATATCAGTAAATTGAAAACGCAATGACGAAAACGAAACGAATTATAATGGATGTTGATTGCCTCTTGCTCGTATCGAGTCTCGATCCATCCTTCAAGGAGGTTCATCGTTTCAAGATTGAAATTGTCTGCGCTACCGAACAAAGGGAATAAAAATGACTCGAATGCCAAAACTAAATAGGTGCAAACGATGATTAATGAGCGAACATTCGATGACGCGATAATGGGGTTTATCGTTTCTCGTTCGGAAGAACGGCATGCAAATTGACAAGTCGATCTTGTGGCCTTGCCACGTGTTTCTTTAACGTCGTATATTCGTTCGTTGCGAATTTCAGTCGTTTTAAGAGTCGATTCCGCAGTTAATGACGTTGTTATTCCGGGGAAATCATGCGATGGAACTAATGTGCCGTGTTTTACGCAAATGATGCACACTTTGGTAACGATGCTCGTTTCTTAAATCGTGCATTCTTTTCGACTGGGTTCTTCACTAAACGCTTTTAACCACCAAATGTGTAGTTACATATCTTTTCACACATAATTCGATAATAATTCTATCTATGATATAATACATAATTACATTCGCAAAATAGAATTTTATTATATTATAGAATTTTAGAATATTATAGAACAGATAGAAATTATAGAACATGGTGATTAATAAATGGGACATTGAACCAAATCCAATTTTTATTAATTCTTTTGATTAAACTGATTGGAATAGAAACTTGATTCTTGTTGTAAGTAATAATATTAATTTATGACTAAACGACGTTTAATAATAAGATCACTTAGGTGAAATTTCAGTAGTCTAGGGTTGTCTCGAAAGTTCTTGTCGGTAACACCAAGTTGAAAGCTGCCCTCGCGAGGAGGGAACCTGCATCAATGATTACATCTTCCCAGGAAGTTGATTTGCATTGCAAATTCGCAGAAAAGGGTTCGCAGGTACAGTCAACAGCAAATCTGGCTTCTCTAGGGGAAACGTGGCGCACGAAGGGGAAAGACCTTCCACTGACTTTTAGAAAATTTGAAGATACTCAACCTCACAATTTTAGGTTAGGTAGAAAATTTAGGAACTTAAGAATTTTTGTGACATTGGAATTTGGAGATTTGGGGATTTGAGACATGAGAGTTTGTTAATTTAGTGATTTGGGAATTTAATTTGGGATGTGAAAATTTATTGATTTAGTTATTTGAGGTCTTAGAAGTTTGAAGATATAAAAATTTGTGAATCTAATGAGATTGTTATATAGAAATTTAAAAAGTCAAGAATTTGGATACTCAGAAAGAGGACTTAGCAATATGTTCATGTTTTCACTTGAAAATTTAGAGACATTATGGCTTAAGTATTTTCACATATGAGAATTTGTGGAACTAGAAAGATGATCATTTGACCTGAAGATCTAAGGATTTCATGGTCTAAGTATTTGAAGATGTAGCAATTTGTGGATTTACAAATTTGTATAAGTATTTGTGTACCTTCTAATAAAATATAAAACAGCTATAAAACTTGAAAATGAAGAAACCATCAAAGTATCCCCAACTAAACGTTGCACCAGAGTGTACAGCGAATCTTCCTCGAAATGCTTTCTTTCTTGCAACGAATGAAAACGTTAAACGCAAGCTCGCAAGAAGGAATGTCGCGAGTCGGAATATCGTTTCACTCGGGTGATTTATCGTTGGACCTGCTGCTGTCGCGTTTTGTGTCTCGTGCTCGTAATGGGCAATAACGCGCCGATGATGTGCACAATTATCTCGCCGTTCCTCGTGCACCGCTTCCGAAGACAAGCCCGGGAACACGAACAAAAAGGTAGACAGACCTCGCTGCGGTCGCAGCACCACTGACCTTGGTCTCGAACACGTCCCAGTCGATTCGATGCTGCAGAAATTGCACCAACATCTCCTTCGTGTGCACCTTCGAATCCCAAATGCTCGGTTAAATTGCGGAATTATCGTCGATCATTCTTCAACTGCCGGTTCAAACGCTTTGGGTCTACAGGGAATACGTTTCAGCGGGGTTCGTGAATTTTTCAGCCTCTTAAAAGCTATTGAAATTTCTCCGGTGTAATGGGAAAAGTTAGGTTTATCGATTAACGTTCAAAAATTTCTGAACTTCCCAAGGTCTCGAGGTACTGAAACCTCGAAAATTCTGAAGTTGAAAAATGTTTGATTAGGGTACTTATTAAGATAGCTCTTTCAGAGTTGGAGAATTCTGAGATTAGTAAAATTTCAAGGTTCAAATGTTTTGAGGTTATACAAATTTTAAAGTTGAAGAATTCTAAGATTATAAACATTCAAAGATTAAAAAATTCTAAGATCATACAATTTTCAATGTTCAATTAATTCTAAGATGACTAAAATTGTTGTTTAAAATTGATGTTTAAAAATTCAACCATCACTAAAAATTCAAATATTCAAACATCTCCAAAATTTCAAACTAAAAAAATTCTAACATCATAAAAATTTCAAAGTTCAAATATTCCTTCACCAAACCTTAAAAATCCAAAAACTCCAAAAATTCTTAAAAGTCCTAAAATTCCAATATCCAACATCCAAAGTAAACCTAAGAGAAATACCAAAGTTCTAGTTGCAAATAAGCTACAATTGCCTGTCTCAGTATTTCTCAATTTTTCCCTCGTTTATTGCAATAATAACTGATCGCATAAGAAACCATTTGAAACTTTTTCTGATCTAATAACAGTTTTAACGACTTCATCTGACCTCTACCCTTACCGCGGATCAAACTCGTGGCAACTTAAAACAAGATTGACTTAATAGGTTTACAATTAAGAAACTTTCAACTATCTCGTAAACTTCACTGTACGATTGAAAAGATTTATTAATGTTTCAATTCCAAACTCGGTAACAACACAAATCGTTCGCTAAGTCAGAAATGTCAGCATGAATAACTTAATAGAAGATGTAACTCATGATGTTTTATGAGATGTGTATGAGGATTGTATGATATAAAGTTATGATGTATATATGATTTTGGTTAGTCATATACATGTATATATAATATCAGTTAGTCCTGCATTATGTCCTACATTACATCTCCTGCACTATGTACATGTCCTACATATGCATAACTGTTCACTTCACCCATAATGTACATGAAGGTCACCTATAAAATAATGTAACTATCAAATGATTTTTCCAATGACAAACAAATTGAACTGTCAACGTAACAGCTATGAATTAATCCTCATACGAATAACAATCTTGTATGAGTAAAATTTTGATTACCATATGTTGTCACTCATACATGATCTTTTCCATACGAATCCCACATATGTATAATTAACATCAGTACGAGACTTACCCAATTAGAAATACTTCCAATAAAAATACCCAGTATATCTTCGGTATCCTCTTATCAAGAAGAGGTCCTCTTATCAATAATAAATATAAAAAAATGTGAAAATATTTGATAACATTCCTCCAGCTCAAAAATGCTAATATGACAGCAGTTTCAGTATCAGAATGCGATGAATGACTATAGAATATTTTTCGCTCGAACGCCTATGGACTCGAATTTTCGACGAGCAACATTCCGATCGTTATACGCGGTCAATGTTGCACCGACATTGAACCAATGCAATGCTGCAATGCAGGTGGACCAGCCGGTGCAGTTGGAAGATACGTAGGCAGTTCGAGGTTGGAGTCTACCGCAAATCTCTCTCTGCTCCCGCAGATGTTATCTTCACCGCAAGATATCTGCGATTCTGTCTGCCCTTTCGAGAGCACCACCTTCGAGACATCTCGCAAGAAATCATCTCGCTCACACGGAATAGGAGGAGACAAACAATCAAAGACAAAAACCGGGCGACAAGAAGACAACGGAGAGAGGAGGAGAAATGTTTCGCAACCCTTTCGGGCGGAACATTTTTCTCCTGGTGAATAATTCATTCTGACAAATGAAATCCGGTTAAATGTTTGTTATGCAACTGGAGAAAATATGTGCTTTTATTTGTTCGCTTTTGATGTCATCTCTCTTTAATTTGTAACACGCGGCGTTTTCTTGCAGCATTGAATTTTGTAAATTTATTTGACAATTCAGGAATTTCTACATTTTTAAATTACTGGGTTGGTGACGCAAAATTTTGTGAATTTTAAATTTACAAACTTAAACATTAATGAATTTGTAAATTTGTAAACTTGTATATTTGTAAAATTGTACATTTGTAAATTTGTAAACTTGTAAACTTGTAAATTTGAAAAATATGTAAATGTAAATAACGTCTACAATTTTCGTATAACAAGATTAATTTCAAAATTATGCCATTTTATTCCCACTGTCCACGAGCAGTGAACATAACCTCGAATCCGCAGTTGGCAAAAAAAGTCAAATGCGTTCCAGACGTTTACTTTTTGCAACTTAATAATATAAAAGGTTTTTCTTGTACAGAAGAGATCGCATCACGTGAAATCATCAGTTATTTATGGAACTTAAATACGAAGCTGCATGAACCGTTTAATCATGATCAACTTTTCGAAACGTTTGACGTTATCGTACAATGAGTTAATAGCCGAATCGTGTTCTTAATTTTGAAACACTCTGTACGATATTTCCGAGCGTGTTTACCGATAGCGGCTAATATTTTATGGAAGAATCTGAATATGACATTGGAATCCTTATAAACAGTCACGAGGCATGAAATCATCGTAAAAACGATGGAAAGTTCCTCGTAAAAATAACACGAAGTCGTTTAAAACTCTGACAAATTGTCGTTTCTGTTATCGAAAGTTCTGTAAGAAAAATATAATAGGATTACAGGGAAGAAAGGACCGTTCGCTGAATACAGATAACCGAGTCGTTTGTTCGCTGAACCAGGATTCTCTGAATTACGATCAAACTTTTATTTCATCGATCAAACTTTTCCGACGAAGTCGATTTGAATTAACTCACCGGTATTGTATACTGGCCTGTCTTCCAACGAAATTGAAATGGGACATTAGAGACAGGATGCCCGAAACTGGCGTGATTCATGATCGTCCTTGGAGAATCCACCCTTGAACTCCTGAATTCAATTTCACTTCGCTTCGGAGTTTTCTGCTGGAAAACTGGTACACTGATATTTACCTCAAAATAAAAAATTGTGTGCTCTGTTTAAGTGTAGTACACGATTTTCACCTTTTATATCTAATTATTAGTTTTATAATTAATGATAATTGGGAATGATTTCTTGTATCAAGGACGTTTGATTTGACAGGAAATTCATAGGACCAAAAGTTCAAAATTAAAGAGTTTCAGAATCGAGCAATTCTAAAATCTGATAATTCAAAAACTTAATACTATTAAATACCAAACTTCTAAAATTCCAAACTTGCAAAATGTTAAAATTCCAAAAAACCAAAAATTTCAAGATTTTAAAATTCTACAGTTCCAAAATACCAAATTTAAAAAATTTCAAAATTCAGTGTTTCTAAACTCCAAAACCCCAAATTCTCAAAATATAAAATTTTCAAAAATCTAAAAATCATACAAACTGCAAAGTCTGCAGTCCCAAACCTGCGAAGTCCGAAAGTTCAGAAACACTGACTTTATCAAATTTCCTCAAAAAATTATATCTCACCTTTTCATAGCACTCTAATTACACAAAACAAAATAACAAAATTTAAAATAAAATTTTCAAATGACCTCAAAGTACCCCATTACCAACTTCAAGAACCTAACCTAACCGTACGTAACAGCAGCAGTAAAAGCATCAAACACTCCAAAAATGCATGAACACTAGAATAACAGTTAGATGAACGTAAATTCTGAGAAACAGGTAGAGAAAGCCAGCAGGTAAAAGATCGACAGACAGACAGACAGGCAGTCAGACAATACTTCACGAGGCTCGACATTAAATCACTGGTAATTACGAGCATCGCCACAGGCATTGTCTCCAATGTGCTGGCACACTATCAACCATCTATTCATTACCGCGGCGTAATTGCGCGTGTAAACGTGGTTGCGAGTGCGAGTAGAGGCTACACGCTTACTTTCAGTTCCTTTATTATCCGGACGCAAAATCGATCGGCTTGGCGACGTACTGTGCAACCGAATCGCTTTTCTTACGGAATACATTGCACTGGAACACGTGATAAATTTTATAATACTCGTTAGCTGTAATATTTGTATTATTGATGTGGGACTTTTTTAAAGGGTGTGCATATGTGAATTTGATTGTTATTTGATTCTATAATTTTTGTTTTTATGTTAGATTTGTAGATTTTATGATTTCTAAGTTTTCAAGTTTTCAAGTTGATAAGTTTGCAAATTTCAGGTTTCAAGTTTTCAAGTTTCAAGTTTTAAGTATCAGGTTTCAGGTTTCAAGTTTCAGGTTTCAAGTTTCAGGTTTCAAGTTTCGGGTTTCAAGTTTCAGGTTTCAAGTATCAAGTTTCAGGTTTCAGGTTTCAGGTTTCAAGTTTCAAGTGTCAGGTTTCAAGTTTCAAGTGTCAAGTTTCAAGTTTCAAGTTTCAAATTTTCAAGTTGTCAAGTTTTCAAATTGTCAGGTTGTCAAGTTGTCAAGTTTTCAAGTGCTCTAATTTCTAAATTCCCAAACTTCCTCATTTCTATCCCTGAATTTTCATACTTATGTTCCCAAATTCCAAAGCAAATCTTCACATTCCAAAATTCTCACAAACTCAAACTTTGATCCCCAAATTTTTTCCTTCGTTATTTTCTTAATCTCCAAATGTCTAGAACACAATTTATCAATCCACTAATTTAAAATTACAAGATCATAATTAATTTAAACGTTAACTATTTAATTGTACTCCTAAAGGCTAAAGTTCAACCCGTCTTCATTTTTATTAGTTTTCAAAAAGATACAAAGTGGTGTTCCTACATATTTTCCCTCTAAAAATTGATGAAATGTTAGAGGGCGAAATATGGACTTAGGCTATCTGACCTCAGGTACAGAATTAATAACAGTAATAACTAAAAGGGCCTATGTTCAGTATTTTGAAAAATTCGGAATTTATGAACCTCTTCTCTAGAATTTGTATTTTTTAACTCATGCTATCAGTGCCCAGCAGCGAAGTACCTATATAAAGTGGGTCTACAAAGTATTAATAAAGAAGACTTCTAACTATAACCCTGTCTCTAAATTCTAACCAACACTCATCTAACTTTGTTTTCACTTCAAATTTCTGAATTATAAACTCAGTATATTTTGCACAGTGTTTTGTACAAGAAAATACTTTTACTTTTCCATCTTTGAAAACTGAAAATATGCTTGAATTCGTCGAAATCTCAGAACTGCAACTATTTAAAAATTGACATGAAACAACTGAGGATTTAAATCGTTGCTACTTAAATACGACATAAGTAGAAATAATTACAAGTCGCCAATCACTAAAAAAGAAGACACCATCGTGCAGGTATTCCATCAGAAAAATCCGAGTGCACGAATGAGCAAAGTGGAAGGAGTAAAAAATGGTATCACAAGTATACCCTTGGAGTTTGTCCGTCCCATCTATCCCGTACAAGCAGCGTCCCTCCATCGTGAACCTTCTCGTCGAACGCGTGCAAGGATATGTAGGTGGTTAGCCGAGCGGTTGTCGTAGTATCAGGAGAGCAGACAGGTAGAAAAGGATTGCAGTTCGGTACAGAACGGAGACGGAACGTTTCGGCGTTGAAGCGTGCAAGAGAGGAACGAGGGGGCAGAAGGAGTAAACGAGGAGAGTAGAAAGGGAGAAAGAAAGAAAGGAAGAAGAATGGTGGGGTTGGTGCTAGCAGCTCAAGCACGTGGAGCCAACTCCGTGTGTCTCGTTCAGTAGTGCTCTCGGTTGCTTTCGAACGATTTCGCACCGGATGTCCATCGTCCGACGTATTCAACGCAGGTTCAAACATCGTCCCGGCCAAAATAATGTGACCCGTTCGTCGCGATCGTTTTCTTCCGCACACTGAGAAAATCCAGCGATGGCTCTCATACCGAGAATACTGTTCACGTGCTCGTTGCTCGTCCTGCCAATCGAGATCGTCTCGATCGAACGATCCGATCGATACGAGTCCGATCACAAGCTACTTTGGCCAGTGTGGCCCGTGTTTCACGAGAAGGCGTCCCGCAGACACGATCGGGACTCCAGCAGCTTTCATCAGAGCGCGAACGCTTTGAACCGGGATGCTGAAAGATCGACCACGATCGCACCGATTACAGGATCCGCGAGACATCACGGAGAGCTACGGGTTCATCAACAACGACCTGGCAACTCGAAACCGGAGAAACTTAGCGCGGTCGCGGTAGCCGAATACGGTGGCACCAGGGCGATTGCTTACGCTGGTTATCATAACAATCATCGCCATCAGCCTAGGGATGTCACGCAGAGCTACCATATCACCAGTACGCAGGCTACGTACACCAGGTATCATCCTGGGTAAGTAATTGTTACACTGTTATGAGGAAAGGATCATACGTTTTGGATTTCTGATCACTTTGGATGAATTCTGATGAAGCTGCTTTTTGATCAGATGATCATTTGTTTGGTCTTCTTTCTGACGATCACTGCTGCTTTTTGATCGGATGATCATTTGTTTGGTCTTCTTTTCAACGATCACTGCTGCTTTTTGATCAGATGATCATTTGTTTGGTCTTCTTTTTGACGATCACTGCTGCTTTTTGATGAGATGATCATTTCTTTGGTCTTCTTTTCGACGATCACTGCTGCTTTGTGATCAGATGATCATTTGTTTGGTCTTCTAGTTAAAGATCACTGCTGCCTTCTGATCAATGATCATTCGGCTCTGTTGTTATCTGATCAAACGATCATTTATAATTATAGATCACAGATCTTTCTTGCAACTCTTTTGTATAAGAGTAAAAGTTAGATTAACCTGTTGCTGTACGACTTATTTGTCAGATGCGTCAGCCAGAACTGACTGATCATACTTACAACGTCAAAAAGAATAAAGAAAGTTAAGATGTTATGCACATTTTACATTCATTCTTGACTCTGCAAATTATAAACTTCAGATTAAGAGTATTCAAAATTCGAGTCAAATCATCATGAATGTTCGAGTCAATATTTGAACTGTGAGTCACGAGTCAGCTCAGAGTACAAAGGGTTAAGAAAGTGAACGTAAATAATGAACGCATTACAAACATAGTCATTCTGAAAGTATGACTGACAGCAAATAAAAAGAATGATAAACAGATTATAATCAAAGTTTGTATAAAGATCAAATTGTATTGAAAGATCTATTTTGAAGATATAATGGACAATGAATGAGAATAGATTGTGATCAAAGTTTGTAGGATAAAGTTGAAATTGCACTGAAAGATTGTGGACAAATTATACTATTTTATCGGCAAATTGAATTATTGTTACGATGAAGGAAAGTGATCCGTTTGTGCTGCTTCCTGTGATTTGATCGGTTTCAGCACGTTGGATGTGGAAGTGTGTTCGAGTGAAATATGATAGAACGTCAATTAAGGATTCGTTGATGGTGGAGTTAATTGAGCAATATTCGAGCTACGTGAAACTTCATTTCTGCTCTTTTAACGTTTATTGAAGTCTTAATTAATAATTGTAGGTTTTGAGTAATATTTGAATGCTGTGAAATTCATTTAGAACAAAATTATTTATAAGTGATATAATACTATAAATAATTAATGGAGTATAAATAATTGTAACTAAATTATGACCGCTCAATATTTGCAACATATATGTTTATATGTCAAACAGGAATATGGCAACCTTATTGTAGACCACAGAAATTATTAATTATTTAAATTGAATATTTTGCAAATGTGGAATATAGAAGAAAGTATGGAAGAATTTATATAATAATTCATAGTATAATTTTTGTACAATTTACACAACTTCCCAATAAAATTTCCCCAAATAACAATTGCATAAATAATAAAAATATCAAAAGAAATACCAATAAACTTTGAAATATATAAATGTGTGTATAGATATTCTACACTGTGAACACCAGTATAAAACTAACAATAAGATTTCGAAATATATCGGCATTTAATCGAGATATTCAATCTGTTAGACATTGTATTTGATAGAACAAAAGACACATAACATCAGACTAAATTTCGCTGCAACGAACAGCGATCGAAGGAGATCAATTTCTCGAGCCATCCACCTACTTCCTGTTCGAGATACCAACTTCACCCACCTTTCTGCATAAAATGAAACGTTTCTGAACAGCCACCCTCGGAGCTGCGAACGTAGGTGTCCGTATCGTGCAGAGAACGCACAAGAAGAATTGAAACTAAATTCGAGTGGAAAACTTTACGATCTGTCGGATAAAGCGCAACTCATGCGTTTAAACGAGTTGTTGCATCGTCGTAAAACTTACTGTTGGTACGACGATTGATAGTATCGGTAACTGAGCATTTAGAAAATTTAAAAATTCAATGATAAAGAAATTAGAAAATTTAGAAACTAGGACATTTAGAATGTCGATGGGGAAGAAGTTTAAAAATGTTAAAATTTGATGAGGAAATTTAGCAATTTAGAAATTTACAAATTCGATGATGAACAAATTCAGGCATTGAAAAATTTAGAAATTCGACAATGTAAAAATTCGACGATTTAAAAATTCAATAATGTAAAAATGTAGCAATTTAGAAATTTGGAGAGTTGGAAATTCGACGATGTAGAAATTCGATTATTTAGAAATTCGATGGTGTAAAAATTCAGTAATTTAGAAATTTTTTAATTTAGAAATTCGACGAAGTAGAAATTCAGAAATTTAGAAATTCAATAATGTAAAAATTCGGAAATATAGAAATTTAAAAATTTAGAAATTCAAACATGTAGAAATTCGAAACTTTAGAAATTTGCTCATTCAGAAATTTCAAAATTTACCAATTTAATAATCCAGAAATTTGAAACCTAAAATTTCTAAAAATCCAAAGTATGAAAAACACTACACACAGCTTAAATATCTCCCAAGTTGCAGAATAAAAATCACATACACCTTCACATCAAAAAACGATATTTCATATAAACCAACCAAGCGCATTTATTAAAACAAACACCAGCTCATCAGTTCACCTTCAATCTAGGGTTAACAACTGATACCGTTCCAAAAGCACATACGATAACAGAAAGTGCTCGTTATTTCGAAATCCACAATCGTACTGTATTTAAAAAGGTATCATCCAAAGGAAATAACTCATGAATGAAAAACATGGTTGAAGTTGGTATCTTGTTCATACAATGATAAATTCGAGCCATGTATTACGAAACAGCAGGAGGAAACTGAGATAAATATTTTCCGACAACAAAGCTGTCCAACTTCTACACAGGAGTACAAGCACTCTTAAATTTATTGCCACTTTTTAAAAAGTAGCTTCTGATACGAGATTACAGGAAAGATAAAAATAATCCTTGTTTTGTATATTTATTCAAATTCTTTTTATTTCCCATCATCGTTAAGCTTCGGAACTTAAACTTTTTTTTCAATTTCTTAAGAATTGGAATAATCCCTTGTTTTCTCCAGGATGAAGCTGTTTTATTAATCTTCAGGAATCTTCTGAAACAAGATTTCATGCTTGTATCGGAATCTTGTCTCGTGCTTTCATCAAAGTTATCTCGTCACTTCGCTTCGGGCACGTATTCAAATTATTTTCAAATAAGATAGCAGTTTACTTGGAATTTCAGAATTCAGAAATCACTTTTACGTAATCGATCATTTTATCTTTCTGAAAGAACATTGCATACTTTTGTTGTGTATAAAATTGTATACTTTATAATTTTGTTTTGTTGACGTTATGTTATCGATCTTTTTATGTTCTACATGTTCTACATTATTCTACAAAAATATTACAGACACACGTCTGCTTTTGTAGGTGAACTTTGTTTAATTAGTTTTGTTATATTTTCTCGAAATTTATTACTGAAATTTTGGACGTTTATTAAAATTACTTTGCTGATTTACATTATTAGATATAGTAGCTATCGTTAATATTTAGCAAAATATTTTGATCAAAATTACATTGTAAATTTTATAAAAATATCTATTTAATAATGTACATTTCAATTTACATATGCATATGTCAACACATATATACATATAGAATATGCATATGTATAGAAATGCATCAAACAAGTTATGTATAAATATGAATCATGACATAATAAAAATGTAGTTCAAAGTAAATTGAGATATTCCATTAATTTCTCTCAAACGAAACACTTTTATCAGAAAAAAAGTATAAATAATAGCATGTACACATAAACCGGATTTACTGTGTACAAACACCTTCTCAATATTTGTCATTCACCTGCAAGGAAACCGCAAGGCGTGTTCACGAGACGAAGCACGTTTGAAATGTACACGGCCACTACACATTAAGCCTTCCATCAGACGGATCGGCATTGCTTTTGCCGCTTAATTAATCGATCGATTAATTATCTCGCGCGTAACGCGTTCCTCTGTCACGTGCAATTATTGGGATTGTTGGTGCGCGACGATTGCGGTTCCACCTCGGCTCGCCTTAAAGCCCTCGCCATATGTAAGTTGGCTAATAATCGCCTAAACCTGTAACCAAAACTCGATGAATAAATTGTTTATTTTGCATTTTGATGTTCTCGAGGAAAACTTAAAGCTTTCACTTGATATCTCTTGAGCAATAACCTGTAACTAAAACTTGATACATATTAGGCTGTTGCGTATGCGGATTTCGAAATGTAGAAAGTATTACGCTATTTGATAGTGTTAAGACTCTGCAGAATTGTATTTGTTTCTTGTGTTTTGATTTTAATCCTTGAGAAATACTTTCTGATACATTAATAACACAATTGAGACAAAATACAAAGAACTCTTTATTTTTTTGTAATATGTGATCGAAGATACGATGTGATATTTGTCATAATTCGGAGGTAAATTATTTTGTATTTTATAAATTATTTTGTATTTTTATATTTAACATTGCATGTCAGAAGCATAGAGAATATACAAAACCTTGACAGTAGAACTATTACAATATTTAATATAAAAAATGTAAAAGAAAATCAATTATTTTTCTGACTTGTCCATTTTCTATAATTTGAATTTCGCGATATGGACTCTCCTAAAAAATGGCGGCATCCACACTGTCATTTTGTGACTTCTAACTTTTACCTGCAAAAACTAAACGACAAGAACTTTTATGTCTTGAAATAAATTCTGAATAATTTACTTCCATAATTTACTTCCATAATTTACTTCCATAATTTTTACTTAAAATCCCGTTAAAGAAAGTAGTTTAACAGCAAATATTAATTATGAGTCCACACCCGAAGTAGCTCTCAATGAATGACTACGCAAACTGTAAGTGTCGGCAATTACACAAACCCTATGTACCACAAAAATAAAAAATAAAAACAAGTTTCGACTAAGCTTCACCCTCGTTCACCGATCGCGCTGACAA